GGTGCCCTGGCCTCTCTGGGGAAAGAAGGGTGGCCTGGCCCCTTGGGGGGTGGGGGAGGGGCAGGGTGGTAGCAGGGAGGGGACAGAGGCAGGAGCCACGCACAGCACCGAGTCTGTTTCCAAGTGGACCGCTGGGGCATCAGTGCTCTCCGAGGCCTCTGTTGGCTTTTTGTGAAAGGCTCACAGTGTGTGCCTGTGTTGGGGGAGACTTAAAATGAGGAAGAGCAAGCGGGGGAGCACGAAGCTCCTTTGGCCACACTGCCTGTTTTGTGTTGCCTGTTTTAGCTGTGTGGTTCACAGCACAGAGCTACCCTCCTCGCCGGGAGGGAGGCAGAGGCTGCTGGTGAAGGCTAGGGTCACCACGGAAAGCCTGGCAAGGAAGATGGAGGATTTTTGGGAAATCTCCCAGGGGCAAATTCTGGAATTTTTTGCAAGAAGAGAAGTGATGGTAGGAAAATAGCTTTATTTTGAGAAATACTGTGTATTGCAATCATAACTGATGGAATAAATGGGTGGAGAGGAGAAGCATATTCATTTACTTGGCCAAAGAAATCTTCCCTTTATGGCAGCCAAATGCTGCCTTTTAGAAGTCAGTTTTGGGTGCACTAAAAATAAGGTTGGCTCTTCGCAGAGCTAATTGTGCATCTTTTTGACTAACAAATCCACTGCGGAAAACCTAGCTAGTGCTATCACACATAGAGGGCTTCATTTTATAAACACACTCACATTTTGGAAATAAATTTTTGTAGAAGAGGACAATAACTTCCTTCTCAAGTTCCAGTTTGATGTGAGTGCCTATTGTGGAGTGAACACAGGAAATTTTCCAGTTGTATTTGAGGCAAAAATCTTCTAGGAAGGAAAGTCTGCAATGCCTCCATTTTCCCACAAGGGGGAAGCACCTCCAGGGTCTTGAGTTAAAACAAAGGCCTGAGATTCCCAATGCCCAGCGCTAGGGGTCTGCTTAACAAAGAATGAAAATTTAAAGTTGTGATCTGCTAGTACCCTGACATAATTGAAAGCACTAAATAATTTTCCTGAGGAAAACAATTTTAATGCAAAGAAATTGGGGAGATGAAATCATTTTGTATGATCGGACAAGCCTTAGACATTGACAGAAATAAATTTTGTCCCATATATACATGCAAAACCTACCCACTTAAATCACCAAAATTTTTCAGGACTGGAGAAAGTGCACAAAAAGGGCTGAGCTCACACTTTGCATGCAGGAGATTAGGGTTCGATCCCTGGCACCACAATATCCTGAGCACTGTGAGGAGCAACCCCTGAGCAGTCAGCAGCGGCTTCTGCACACCACCAGTGCGCTTCTCCCCGCAAAGGCAGTGATTTTCAGGCAGGTGTCATCAGGTAAGTTCTTCCCTTTTCAAGTTTCAGTGCTCTGTTCACGTTCTACTACAAGGCTTAACGCGCTGCTCAGTGTTTAGGATTTGAAACAAATTATTAAGCAAACACTCCAGGAAAAAAAAAATCTAGTTTGTTTTTTGAGATCAATTTGAATTTTTAGGGGGAATTTCACTTTCATGTATTTTTGAACCATTTTCTGAAGTTGATTTTAGGACCACAGCTGGGTCTATGTTCAGGGGACCACATGCGGTACTGGGATTCAAACCAGGGTCACAACTGCAAGATGCATGCTAGACAAGAACCTTAACCTCTGCATTCTGTAGGCCCACTCCAACCCACTTTTATACTTTTGGAGTGGAATTTTATTGAGTGTACTATCAAGGATAATAAGAGATTTAGGAATGTGGATAGGGCTTGGAGGGGTGGAGCACAGCCTTGTATGCATAAGGCCCTGAAACTGACCCTCTGCACCACTTCCCTGCTCCCCCCTCAACACTGTCAGTACAGCCCTGGGGGTCCCCAACACTGCTACGAACTCCACTGCCAGACACAGGCACCTTCAGGGATCATATCTGAGTATCACCAACATGGGGTCCCCTGGCTCCCAAGCACACCTGGGAGACCCCAGTGATTTGACAGATCACAAAATCAAGTTATTTCACTGTGCCTCATATCCACCAGTTATGGAGAAGGTATGATCACTAAAAAGTGTGTGCCAGGTGCCAAGAAACTGATTTGACCTAGAAGCATGAACTGACCACTCTCTAGTTTCCATCTCAAAGAACTTCCTGAGTCAAGGAGACTTCATGCTTGACTGTTCTGCTCCACTGGGGCTGAATCCACATGTCTCGTAATAGTTATTCCCAGTCTCACTTTGGCATCAGGACTTCTGAATCCGAGTTGGGCATATCACTGCACATATTAAAGTCTGTATCTTTCTCAGCTTATTCTGGTAGTTGTGGCCAGATGACCAAATCACACCAAATGGGATGATAGCAAAAGCTGGCTCTTCAAAGAGGCAGGATAATTTTTTTCTTACTTTTTCTGCTTTCTTCATAGCTGGAACGTGGATTTGATGGTTGAAGCCAGAGCAGCCATGTTGGATAAAGAGATGAAAGATGCATAAAGGAAGATGGTAGAGAAATATAGCAAAAACCCATTTTCTCATTTTGTGGTCACCATAGCAGCCTAGGCTGGAGACAAAAATATTTGGAGGGTAGGGAGCAAAGGAGTTTCTATTACCTGCAGCTAAACCTGGTTCCAATCAACAGAAAAATGACAGGGGATCAATAAATCCACTCCAAGGCAGAAATCAAGGTATACTTACCATTGACAAGTGATGATTTCTAAGGTTTCCATCCTCGGGGCTGGAGCAATAGCACAGCGGTAGGGCGTTTGCCTTGCACGCAGCCAACATGGCCGACCTGAGTTCGATTCCTCCGCCCCTCTCAGAGAGCCCGGCAAGCTACCGAGAGTATCTCGCCCGCATGGCAGAGCCTGGCAAGCTACCCGTGATGTATTCGATATGCCAAACATAGTAACAACAAAGTCTCCAATGGAGACGTTACTGGGCCCGCTCGAGCAAATCGATGAACAACGGGAAAACCATGACCGTGACCATCCTCGTACCCTCTTATTATATCTTAATAATAATCCTATTATCTTTTCTTATAAAACCAAAAACTACAGAGAAACATGCTTTAAAGAAATGTTGTATCATCAACACTTTTTATGGTCCCCAAAGGGATGGGGGGCACTTCCAACCTTTTCAACCCTTCCTAACCAGACCAGCTTTTTTCTGGTTTCTGATATTGGACTCAACTTCTAATTTCTTTGGGTCGGCTTCAGAATGATGATTGATTAGTAATGTCTACAATCATTAATTGCCCCTGCAAGGGATGAGGGGCAATGAGGGATGTGGGCAGATAAATGAGATAGTTATGTGCATTCCAAGTAATGCATGTCATCAATTTTAATAAGTACATTCCCCCTACTCCACCCCCATTTTTACATCTGTGAAAATGGGATACATCTTATGATCTGTGTCAGATTGTTATTTTCCCAAAATGGTGACAGTATTTCAAGTCTCACATGCTGTTCCAGAACTTAACCAAGCCCCCCCAAAGAAACAGGATTTATCTTCTATCCCCTTGAATTTGATGAGGGGGGCTTTGTGACTGTTCAAGTAATACAGTGTATTACAGGCACATACATACACAAATTAGTTTGAATAAGTTTTACTTTAGTTGTCAAAAGAATAGCAACAGTGATACTAAGAGAATTAGGAAACTAGAACATTTAAAACAATATTGTTTTTGCCTGGCTGCCTTTTAGCGATGCTCTGGCGCAGAAGCCAGTATCATGCTCTGAGCAAGTCCAGGTCACGGGGACAGGCCCCTGGTGCTCAAACTTGGCTGCGGGCCCAGTTGACAAACCAATCCAGTGAGTGATATCTCAGGAAGCAGATGCTCCAGCCCTCACTGGGGCTGTTCAACTGTCACTGCCAATCTGGGTTTCTAATCATTTACTTGACTCTTGTCCTAAGGGACTACATTTTGCAGAGGTTATACAGTAAAAGACAGTGGAAACAACTGCAGCAAGTGAGGGAGCAGTCTAGGCTGTTGTAATGGCCGGCACGAGAACCCATAACCTGTGGGATAAAAATGAAAACTACACAGAAGTATGTTTTAAAGAAATGTATCATCAACACTTTTCAAAGTCCAAGGGACAATATTAAAGAAAAAAGCATGAACCTCTAGCGACAACTCAAAAAAGTAGAGATCTCAGTCGTTGAATAGGAAGAAATCTGAGGGATATCCTACTAAATGTACTCTGTATATATTTCCTTTCTGAAGATGCACAAGAGTGACCTACTATGAAAAATTACTCTAAGCAAGCTTAAAAGAACATTCAGTAAATATCAAAGTTAGTGATAATGAAATACTAAGTTCCATTGGTAGCATTTTTCTCAGTTTATATCAATGATACCTAAGAATAAATAAAATCTAAATGTTTATTGTTTTTAACCTAAGCTCTCATACACTAGCAAATACAAGTGTTCTAAGAGAGAAACCCACAAGTTTTTCAGATTTTTTTTTTTTTTTTTTTTTTTTTGCTTTTTGGATCACATCCGGCGATGCACAGGGGTTACTCCTGGTTCTGCACTCCTGGCGGTGCTCAGGGGACCATATGGGATGCTGGGACTCGAACCCGGGTCGGCCGCGTGCAAGGCAAACGCCCTACCCGCTGTGCTATCTCTCCAGCCCTAGTTTTTCAGATTTTTTTATATCGAAAAAACAAAAGAACACAGAGCAGGGAAAAGTTTTTGTTTTTTTTAATTTAATTTTTATTTCCGTAATTTAGTGCACAACATTGTTCTAATAAATATTTTGAAACTTTCTTTAAAAGTTAATTTTTCTTAATTGAATATTACAAACAAATGACTTTCTAAAAACCCCTCAACACCTATGAATTTACAGATGATAAATGTCACAGGTGAAACTATCTCTTCAATTGAGCTGGAGAGAGGTTCAGCCCTAGGGAAAAAGTCAATGCCACTCGGACAGTTAAAAACACGGTGAGCATTAAAGAACCAAAGCTAATTAAAATTTTATTAAACACTTATAAGACAAAAGAGATGATGCTGTTGACTTTATTATAATTGTTCGGTAAAAAATGATTATGGCTTCCATAGATCTCAAAAACAAAAACAAATTGATAAAATATATTAAAAACCTTGACAAAAAAGAAAAAAAATAACCCAGCCCCGGTCCCCTTCCACACACACACACAGCCTCGCCCCATCTTGTACATCTCAACATAACCACAGTTAACAACCAAGTCTCATTAATTCAATTCTTGGTGTTTTTTTTTTTGGGTGGTGGTGGTGGGGGGTGGGGTGGAGAGAGAGAGGGAAGGAGGCTTGGATCACACCTGGCGGTGCTCAGAGTTTACTCTTGGTTCTGCACTCAGGGATCACTCCTGAGGTGAGACTCAGGGTCCACAGAGGATGCTGGGGATTGAACCCAGGTCAGGTGTATAAGTACCCCACCCCTATACTACTTCCGGTCCCCAATTCCTGGTTTTGATTATGTTTTGGGGCCACACCCAATTGTGCTAAGGACTTACTCTGGCTCTACACTTAAGGATTATTACTGGTGGTGCTTGGGGGTACCATATCTGGTGCCAGGGACGGAACTCACTGTACTATCTCTCTGGCCCCAATTCCTATTTGGTAAATCACAGCATTTCTTTGTAAGTGATAATGCGGAAAACAGTTGACAGATCCAGGCTAGCCACTCCACTTTGGTACAGTTCTCTGAAGACACCCCCTGACACTGAAATCTCTCACCATGTACTTACAAGTACAATGAGAAGGTTAATTTATAGTTTTACCAAGGCAAACCATATAAAACCAAATTTGGTGATCCCAGCCCTCAATACTGTGAACACTAAAATGAAACAAGTGTGATGATAAACTGTAGAACTTCAGGGCTACAGAATATATTTGGAACTATCAACTTTTTAGTAGAAAAAGTGGGCAAGGCACAGAGCTGGCGCTGGAGGCAGAGCTGCATGTCCAGTGTTGTCCAGCACGGAACAAAGTGGCCAGTGTTCACGCCTCCACAGTCAACCCTGAGGTCTGCTTCCAGGGCCCTTTTCCAACAGTCAAAATCCAACTTTGTTCAGAGGGTGAGAGGATCGGAGAACATATTCTAAATTCTGAGTATTATACTGGAAGGTTCTAAGCCCAAAGGCTTCATTCAGCTCAAATTTTATTGAGCTTTGTAATTATCAGTACTCTGACCATTTGATCAAATGAACTACAGATGCAAAGACCCCTTTTATCTGGACTCCAGTCCAAGCTTGAAATAGGCTGGGTAGACAAGGTGACATTCTGCAGAAGGCTCACGGAACCCGCGACGCCCATCTCCACGCCCTCCGAATCCTTCTTGGATCGCTGAGCAGGGTATTCGCTAAAAACAAGATCAAAGTGGTAAGGGGCGATTTCAGAATCTTTCATGCACTTCAGTAACTATTGTTATTTCTCAGTGAATTACTAGAACTGATACTTAAAGAATCTTTCAGATGCTGAACTGTTTGCAAATAAAGAAACATTTGAATTTTAACCCCATTTACCCCAAACCTTATGCAATAAGGGATTAGTTCTATTAGAATTTGTACTTAACACTTCTGTTTTACATGAATCTGTATTTTTCTCTTCCAACAAGAGGTCTAGATTAAATCACCTCTTCTTTGGGGCACAAGGATCAGGGGGATCGGGGGTCACACATGGCCGTGCTCAAGGCTTACTTCTGCCTCCTTGCTCAGGGGCCCTATGTGGTACTGGGATCAAACCACAGTAAGATGCACGCAAGGCAAGTACCTTAACCTTCAATTATCTCTTTGGCCCCAGGCAAGCACCTTTCATAAAGTGACTTAATGCTCTTGATAAACTTTTATTATAATTTTATGTAACTCTTCTCTAGATTCTGATTGCTACGTGCCACAGACGAAGGGCATGCCCAAGGCACATGTTATACAAGTGCAGAACCACAGAATGGAGCAGGAACTCTCTTCACAACCCAGAGCTCCACCGGCTCAAGCCTAGGGACCACTGTGTATCATTTGGATGGAAAGACAACGCTCCCAGGAGATTTTAGACGGAAACACTATTACTTCAACAAAGGAAAAAGCGATTCCAGGAATATCTGATTTTCTTTCAGTTAAAAATATCAAATTACAAAATATGAAAGAGCCGAAAGCTACCAACTCATAAATACTATTTGCTGTAGATTCAATGCTAGGGGGAAAAGACAGATCCGCTCCCTCTAAGGGATGTGTTCCTAGTGATATACAGTGGTCCTCCTTCTTAGGCCTTTGTGTTTTGTTGAGGTATTTTTGAGGGGGAGGGGGGCAATCTCCAGTAGTGCTCAGGGATTACTGCTAACTCTACACTCAAAGATTACCCTTAGAAGACTTGGGACCATACATGGTGCTGGGGATTAAGCCCAGGTCATTTCATGCAAGGCAAGTCCTACCTGCAGTTATTATGTCTCTAGCCCTAAGAAAGCCTTTTAAAGCCTGCTACGTAGCAAACATGATCCTGCCTGTATTTCATAAACACTAATAAAAACCAAGAATTTAAGAGGAACAGAGTACCGAGAAGCAGGGCAGAAATAATGAAACAATAGGCATACTTTGATTTTAAATAATAACATATGGACTTTTTAAAACATTCCATATTCTCTAAGTTTGAAGTGTGTATAGGTATGTATTTTACACACATAACAATAAGCAGTAATTGAGGCCCATTTAAGAAGATTTCCTGAATAACTAGAGAAGTTTCTTTAGACATTTTTGGGTAGGGGTTCAATAAATATTCATAGTTTAATGGTTTAATAAATTTAAATTACCAAATACAAATAAAGTGAAATACAATTTTTTGGGTTTTGTTTTGGGGCAACATCTAGCAATGCTGAGGGCTCGGCGCTCAGGGATCACTCCTGGCATGGCTTTGGATACTATACGGGATGCTTGGGATCAAATCTGGGTCAACTGCATGCAAGGAAAGCGCCTTACCTCATCATACTATCTATGTGGTCCCCGAAGTTAAATATAACTTTACTTAAATCAATTCCCTTTGTAAGTATAACACTTGACAGCACAGATCCAAATCAATCTGAAGTTCAGACTCAACATCTAGTAAGGTGTAGGTAAGGTTTTAATTTAGTAGAGTTGAAAGTGCATAATGAAGATATGCACCAAATGTTAATTGCATAGAGATCCAAATTTATTCCATTGACACAAATTCTTGTTGCTAACAGGTCTGCAGGTCACAGGTCTCCATATAAAGATTGCGGGGAAAAACCAGGACAAGATCTTCAAGAAGAGAGACCAGAGTTTGATCCTTAAGTGGAACAGTATGTCACTGCATGGTTCGAGGATCTTGCAGGGTCTCACTGGTGTAGATTGGGGGGAGGGATGCGGGAAACAATGGGCAACAGTGCAGGAGAAAGAAAACCACCAACAGCTCCCTGCCTCTCAGCACCTTCCCGCTATTTCTGGATCTCAGGGTAACGGGTACTTTGCAATTGTGGCCTTACTTTTCAGAATCCCTTCTAGTTTATAAAAGGAATGAATCGAATATTTTGTAAAGTAAACCTCCTAAATAGAGAAGATCATAGTGTTTTTCTTATATCGTTGATCAAGCTTTATTTTTGAAGTATCTTTCGTTTATAGGCTTGGATTACTTTTCTCCCCTCTTTTTTCTTCAGTGATGTTTAGAAAAGGAAATACTGCTAACGTCTGATATTTTATCAGGCATTTGATTTATCTAGTACATTTCTACAGCACAGGGATCCATCCTAGGGCACACACACATCAAGCCAAGTGCTCTACCACAGAGCAACATCCAGGCATGTTTAACTATTATTATTTTATATTTTTTTAAAAAATTCTGTTTTACAATGCCAGGATCTGAACTCATGGCCTCAGCCATGAGAGGCCTATGCTTTCACGCTGAGCAACAGCCCTGCCCACACGAGGCCTTCCTTGGAAGCTGACCTGGCAGGTAGCAAAGGCAGCCCCTGCAGATCTGTGGACATCAGCTTCCACAGGATCGGCTCAGGCCTATCACAGGGATGTTACTTGGACAAGTGCATCAGCAGAGGCAGAAACTCAGAACTCCTGCCTTTTCCTGTCTTCTAGAGTCTCAGTTCTAATGACCAGACACTAGAGAACTAAAGCTTATTGTCCAAGTGTTTCAGTGTTTCATATTAAAAAAAAAAAAAAAAAAAACCTACTACCACAATAACAAAAGCTATGACTTCGAATATGTAAGAGCTCTTTTTTTTTTTTTTTTTTTTTTTGCTTTTTGGGTCACACCCAGTGATGCTCAGGGGTTACTCCTGGCTCTTCACTCAGGAATTACTCCTGGCGGTGCTGGGGGAACATATGAGATGCCGGGGATCGAACCTGGGTCGGCTGCGTGCAAGGCAAATACCCTACCTGCTGTGCTATTGCTCTGGCCCCAAGAACTCTTTTTCTCTTTTCCCTTTTTCGGTTTTTGGGACACACCTATGGTGCTCAGAACATACTCCTAGCTTTGTGTTCAGGGAACACTCCTGGTCAAGCCTGGGGAAGCCTATGGGAGACAAATCAAACCCAGGTGGGCTGGGTGCAAAACAAGCGCTTTACCCACTGGATTAGCTCTCCATTAGGTCTATTTTAAGCTATTCTACTAGACTGAGGGCATAACTAAAATAACAGATAATTTTAGCATGACAAAAGAACCTTAATATTTACCAAATAAAAAATAAGTATATCAAAATATAAACTTAAAAAATAAGTCAGTGCATCAGTTAAAAAAAAAGTGCTGAGAAAATAACTTATGTAATGCCATAAAATTTTCAATTATTTCGAAATGAATTCAAAGGAGGAAAAAAAAAAAAGACAGAAAAGTTCAATTTAAGCCTACTTTCCACCCACAGGTAACTTAAAAAGGAGCAGTGTGCACTGGTAACACTTACTACTTCCAGAGGTGAAGGCCGCCGGCGCCCCCAGCTGTCAGAAAGAGCTCCCTGTTCTGAGGCAGGTGTCGAACCTGCCATACTGTGGATTTATGAGCCTGCAAGGAACAAGATGCACAACTGTTTTACATGTTTATGTAAATAAAGGCGGCCCTAGACAAGACCCTGGCAACTGAAGAATTTTGACTTCTATTATTTCAACACATTTTAGGAAAGTCAAGGATGTTCCTGGCACATCCCTTATAATGAACAGACTGATTTATAATAGTCCATCAGAAATAAGGAACAAAACATTTTTCTCAACTGCATTATGAACCAAAAGCCTGCTGGATCTGAATAAGAAGATGTTATCAGACTGAAAGTCCATTTGTTTGCCGTACCATGTAAATGAGAATAGATCTCATGTGCTTTCATATCTTGACCTCACTTGAAGGAGAAAAACAAACTCAAAATATAATAATAGAAGGGGGTGGGGACCCAGAAGGAGTAGGGTGTCCTGCTCATGGGCAACCTGGGTTTTGAGCCCTGACACCACATATGCCCTCCCCCACCCCCTTGCCCAGACAAAAAGGGGAGAACAGGGCACATAGTTCAAATGCAGAAAGCATGTCCTGCTTATGTGAGGTTCTGGATTGGTGAAGTGATGATGTTGATAGATAGATAATAGACTTTAAGATGACAAAGGCAAACAATATCACAAAGTATAGCTACCTTGGCATGAATTTAGTTCAGAGCTGGGGTATAGATCAACAAGTTAAGTGTATGCTTTGCACCCACGAGTCCCGGGTTCCATCCCAGGCTCTGCACAATGCGCCAAGAACTTACCTGGGAGTAACCCCCAAGCACCACCAAGTATGGCCAAAAATGCAAAAAAATTTAAAAAAAAGAAAAAGATTTTGGCTTATCAGATAGTGATGGCAACTTCATACAGTAAGGAGACAAAGTAAGATCTGAGAAGTGCTATCAGGTCTAGGAGAGGGAGAGGGAACAATGAAGTCTGTTTTTATTTTCTTAGCAATGTAAATACTTTGTCTTATGAAAACCATACTCCTGCTCAATAATTTTGCACTGGATGAAATGTAGATTCCTATTTTCGACCCATCTCTTGCACATGACAATATGTTTCAGTGTGAATTTTATTTATTTATTTATTTATTTAGGCTTTTTGGGTCACACTTGGCAATGCTTGGGGTTACGCCTGACTCTGCACTCAAGAATCACTCCTGGTGGTGATCATGGTACCATATAGGATGCTGGGGATTGAACCCGGGTTGGCCATGTGCAAGGCAAAGGCTGTACTATGACTCCAGCCCCTTGATCTATCTTTCTAATGCTTAAGTACTGTATGTTCCCTTTGAAGCTACCCAAAATATTATTTGGGAAAAGGTAAAGTCACATGCATGTAAATGTTTGTGAATAACACATAAATAAACTTGGAACTCTATGATGTATCAATCACATCTATTAATGTTTTATACCGAAAAGTATACACATAGGTATTAATACAAATATTACCTACTTATTAGAGAATAACAGGATAAGGATTATTCAATTTACTAACTTCAGTTGGTTTCTTGTGGCTGCTCTCCTGAAACCAAAAAATTTCTAGCCACCTGAAATACATATTTCTTGTCATTATAATCAAAAAATCTTAAATTGATCGCAAAGATACTACACAAAGGTACTCTCTGTGCAGAAAATCTTGTCAAGATCCCACAAGAATAAATTAAAAATAGCTCCCTTCATATAAAGACCTGGAAGGAACCTTGATGACTAATTCTATTTATTAGACTAAAATAAGCTATGAAGAGGAACTTCATAGAAAGACACTTCCCTCCTATTTACCTTTTCTGAGACAGAAGCAAAACCTTTGGTTGGATGCTGTGTCCTCATGTCAAAAACATGAAACTTTCCTTCCAGAGATGTAGCTACTAATTTATTCATACTTATGTCTTTTCTGTCAAACTCCACACTACATACCTAAAAACAGAAAAATGTTACTGATGATCTAATCATTATTAGTCAGAACATCCTTTTAAATGAACTAAAACAACTTTAAATTACCAGTATAGAGAAAGTATTCGAATAATCATTTTATATTTGGATTAATTCATTGAAAAAATATGTATTTTTAAATTAGGGGCCACCCCGGCAATACTCAAGAAGTCATACAGTGTTAGTGACTGAAATCAGCCTCCTGAATTACCTCCCCAGTGTTAAAAAGTGTTTTTTATACACTGTGATTTACAAAGTTATCCATGACTGAGTTTCAGGCATACCATGCTCTAACACCAACCCCTTCACCAGTGTCCACTTCCCTCTACCAATGTCTCCAGTTTCCCTTCCACCCCTCAAGTCTGTCTCTCTGCCTCTATGACTTCTTAATTTTAAATTTTAGGCACGGAGGTTACATTAGGCATTTTTACCTGGAAAACTAATTCACCTTGGGTCAGGGTGATAGCGCAAAAGGCTGAGTGCATGTTTTGCATACAGGAGCCCTGGGATTGATCCCTGGCACCACATGGTACTGCAAATTGCCAGGAGCAGCAACCCTGAGCACTGAACTGGGAATAGTCCCAAGTATCACCGGGCGTGGCACCAAAACAAAAAACGAACAAAAATATTCTTCTTGGTTAGTAAGATCAACAAAAGCATTTTGAATTCCTCTGTCCAACAGATACATTTAGAGTCATTATTTCTTAGTTATTACCTTAAGTGCTCTATACACTGAAGGCTGACTTTAGAAAATAGGAGGGAACCACATTTTTCACAAAAGGCATGCGTACAACCTAGGAAGCAAAGATCTGCCAGTACTTGAGAAGGCTTTTCCTTTCTGATACTTTAGCTTTCCTAATAGTAACAGGAAAGGGCCTCTTACTAGTTAATTTTACTCTCATACTGCATTGCTCCCAGAAGCTGGTGACTCATTGGCACAGTCATACCACTTCTGGGTGTGGTTCACTTTCTGGAAAGAGGAATTAGGATTTTCATGAAATTCTCCAAAGTGAAGAGCCTCCAAAGGTGAAAAACTCTCAGCAGAAGGACTGTCCTAGATGAATTTTATCCCTTTTGTAGTAATTCAGGGATGGGTTTAAATACACGAACAGAGAAACTAAAAAGAATCTGAGAGTACATTACCCCATTTTTTATGTTTGTCTCCCATCGCAGTGACATATTTCTGAGGTCAAACAGTTTGATATCCCCATTGTCATAGCCGGCACAAACAACACGTTCCTCCTGGTTATAAGCATTGCCTGGAAATCAAATTACAACATTGTTGAGCACTGTCAGTGACCATTTACAGCAGTGTTTCCCAAAGTCCAAGATAATGCCCCAGCTTTTGGGGACACTGGAAACAGCCACGGTTAGGGGAGCATAGGAGTCAAAGGGAGCACTTTGTTTGCTTCTATGAAGGCTGATTTCTAGGGGGAGCACTGAATGATTTTTTTTCCTCTGAAGAAGGAGGTGGAAGGTCAAGTAAGTTTAGGAATCTCAAATTTAAAGACTGCTTTGAAATGTTAAGAAGGGATTGGAGATGGTTACAGCAGCTAGGGCACTTGCCTTGCATGCTTCCATGATACCATCTTTTCACTGTGCCACTCTCTTTACTGTAACCTAAGTCTCTCCTGGAGAGGGAAAGCTGTAGAGCTTTGCAAGCCATGTTTTACCACTCATCTCACCTCCAGCTACTTTTACTAAGGCTCTACTCATGCTCTAATCACATCTTATCTTTATAAAGCGTCCAAAGGTTCACCATTCCTTCCAGACATGGAAATTCCTCTGGCTGGCCATAGCCCAAAGCCATCTCTAAAGCTCTTCTTTGGTTTTTGCTTTTCTCTTACTTTTCTGGCTACTTTTCAAGCTATTCCTTATGCTTGAAATTTTCATGCAATTGCAATGATCCAAATGCCTTATTTTTAATTTGAGGTCCAAAAGTTATTTTCCCCAAGTAATCACTGCCTTGAGCTTTCTTTTGTATTAAAATCCACTTTTATCAGTCCAACTTTGTACCATAATTAATGAAGCTATTATGTCTTCTTTGCTAAATTATATGCTTCTTTTGAAGGGGGGGGGAGCATGAGGAGACTGGGCCATATTGAATGGTGCTTGGTGCTCAGGGAGCCTGGGATAGAACTGGCCTTAGACATGTGCAAAGCAAATGCCATAACTTAACCTTGTACTGTCTCTCTGGCCTCGAGCTCTGTGCTTCTTAAGGCTAAAGTATGAGTCTGTTTCACCTATGCGTACCCACAGTACTCTGCAAATACTTGGCATTCAAAACAACCATACAATCAATTAATAATTGTTTTTTAAATTTAATGTTCTATATTTAAAACTACATTTATATATACTAGATCAATGATAAAAAGGCTTTAATGGACTCAAAAGTAATTACTCTGAATTGTTTCATCAATTTTTGGATAATGAGTCTAATACTAATCTTGAAATCGTACCTAAAGCATCCATGTCTTAGGTTTATATATTATTCTTCATAATATATAAATACATCATAACTCTAGCACAATACTTTCCTTCTTATACTGGAAATCTAACTTCTCTGATTAACATTTTCTTTTTTAAATTTGGGGGTGGGGGGGGCTGGAGCCATAGCACAGTGGGTAGAGCATTTGCCTTGTACGCAGCTGACCCGGGTTTGATTCTCAGCATCCCATATGGTCCCCCGAGCACTGCCAGGAGTAATTCCTGAGTGCAGAGCCAGGAGTAACCCCTGTGCATCGCTGGGTGTGACCCAAAAAGCAAAAAAAAAAAAAAAAAAAAACACAAAAAACATTGGGGGCAGGGGAGTGAGACTGGGCCACACCTGGTGGTGTTCAGGGGCTATTCCTGACTCTCTGCTCCAAAGTGATCACTGGTAGTGCTCAGGAGACCACATACAGTGCCAAGGGTCAAACAGGTACCTGCCAGGTACAAGGTAAGCACTTAACCCCCTACACTATCTCTTGAGCCCTCAATTTTAAAATAACATACAAAGATAAACATTTCAAATACACTGATATCACCACCTCACTTACGTACATAATACCAAATATTTTCAGGACTTAATCTAAGAAAGTTCTAAGCATATTGCATGCATTGATTTATTAAATCCTCATAACATTATTAGGTAAACTGTTGTTATTTCTACTTTAGAAATGGGGCTATCAAGAACAGAGAAGCTTGGTACTTGCCCCAGGTTACACCATCAATAACTTGGTAGCATGGTGAGGATTCAAACCAGACCCCAGAGACCGACATTAACCGTCATAATACATATTTGCCTCAACAAACTGTCTGAATGATGCATATACAGACTAGAAGGAGATCACTGAGACTTTCCTGGGGCACAGTGCTTTTTACTTTCCAACACTTCCAATGCAAGAATTCTTCAGTTAATTTACCAAATGCCACAGTCCAACAGTCTCTCTTGTTTTCTCCTTGAACAGGTTCCATATTAGCAACAGGATCATCTTTTTGCCTTGGGTCCCAAACCTTCACAGTTCCTGTCAACAATAACAGTGAGTTGGCAAAGTCAACAGTGAATGACCACAATTTCTGTCTGCATTCTCAGCCTAAGGCTACGGCTTCTTGTATACATGGTAACATTACAGGTAGTTAACATCTAAAAAAAAAAAATTCACAATTTTTGAACACCTAATTGAGAAAGTTGTATTTAATATCAAAAATTTAACCCATGTAGCCATCTGAATGATTTTCAAGTATTGTACAAAAAAACAACGCTTTCTAAATTGCTAAGATCTGATTGACTCAAAACACAACTGCTGGGCTGAAGAGAGCAGAGGCTTCTAGGCCTTGCATGCAACCAATCCCAGTCGGATCCCAGAACAGCAGTCTCGTGAGCACAGTCAGTGGTCACCCCGAGCACCAAGTAACAGCCTCTGACCACTGCTGGATGCGGCTGCGCCTTCCCAAAATACCACAAAAACAAAAACAATTAAAAATCCCACAAATGGGTGGGAGGCAAACAGGGGGTAAGGGGTGGCAGGGGTATTGGTGGAGGGAAGTGAACACTGGTGAGGGACTGGTGTTGTAACACTGTATGCCTGAAACCTAATTATGAATACATTTGTAATTCCACCAGAACAAAAATTTTTAATTCTATTTTATTATTTATTTCCCTTTATTTATTTTAATGAATCACCGTGAGGTAGTTACAGACTTAAAAACTTTCGTGCTTACGTTTCAGTCATGCAATGCTCGAGTACTCGTCCCTCCACCAGCGCTCATTCTCCACCACCAATGATCCCAGTATCCCTTTCCCCACTCCCAACCCCTCTGTTCCAGGTGCATTCCCTTTTACTCTCTCTCTCCCTTTGTCCAGCAGAACAAAATCTTTAAAAAAATCCCAAAAATGGCATGCAAATTTTGCATTATTTTCTTTGTTTGAGCCTTAAAGTAATACCATCATTTACAGAGAATACCAGTATCATTTTAGTTTTGATTTTTTCCTTATAACCTATATAATCATTGGAATTTTTCTTATATAAACTTTTTACATCTATAAAGTTTTTTCATCTATGATTTTTTTATCTGGTCTTTTAGAATTCTATTTTTTTGTACAATTAAGTTAATTTCCCTGTGGCAATCGAGAAGAGGGAAATGGTAAATAAAATTAACAAATAATTCTTCTCAATTTAATTTCAGCCCTCTCATTTTAATGCAAATCATAAAACTACTAGCTAAACTGTGTCATCGGATATAAGAAAGGCAAATGCATGTAATAAAACAGCTAGAAAGCAAGTACCTGAGAGTAAACAGGAAAAGGGAAAAAAATTCCCTAAAAGCAATAATAAACTTAGGAAAAGGGGAAATATCTCACTAGATTTATCTCCAAGGATAAAATTAAGTTGGTCATTAAAAAGGTTGCTTTAAGGAGAAAATTATTTTCCACAAATGGGGTAAGAGATTATTAAATTACTCCACAGGGTTCAAAGAAATTGATAAGATTCATATTACAATGACAAGAGTTAAATAAACAATAAACAAACTGACTATTCACAGAACAAATTTAACTAGTAAACAGATATAAAAGAGGTTAACACAAGTTACAATGTTAACCTCTTTAAACTTTTATCTATACAACTGAGGTGGGGGGAGAAATCAATGTTTATAAGGTAGAATGCAAAGCTACCTCATGTATGATTCCTGAGAATGTAAACAGGTACCCTGGAAAATTTAGCTATCAATTAAAAACATCAATTAAGAATCTTTATTCCAAATAAGTTGCATACACAACGATACTCATTTCTTCCTTAACTTTAAGTTTTCTTCCAAAAACAACAAAGAAAACCTTAAACCAAACTGAATATACATTAAAGGGATATAGTGAAGGACACTATGACAAAAACTATGAACATGGCACAATCGGCAAATGAAAATATCCTGCTCTTGTAAGAGAAACTGCATATTCTATTAGAAAGAAAAACCAAATCTAATGGTTATGCTAGTATACTATATTGTTGTTTTTCCTTCGATATTCCACATCGCTTTCACGATGAAAAATAGTAACTGATGTCAAAACACAGTCAATCTTGAGGAATTATTAGAAAATTGTAGATTGGGTGAGGGAGATAGCTTAAAGAGAACTAGCTGTGCATGAAGGAGGCCCAGGCTCCTTCCCAGCACTTCACAGTCCCCTAAGCTTCTGCTGGGGACTGGGAGCAGTCCCCGAGCACTGCTGAGCATGGCTCTAAACTCCCCTGCTCAAAAAGAAAGAAGAAAATTGTACAAATCGGATTTCATTTCTTTGTGGGGAGGCCACACTGGCAGTGCTCAGGAATCACTACTAGTGGTTCTCAAGTGACCAAATGAAGTGTTGGGGATAGTATCAGGGGTAACTGCATGCAAGATTGAGCCCCTGTACTGTCAATCTGACTCTGACTCCCTCCCTTCCTCCCTCGCTTCTTCTTTTTTTTTTTTTTAAAGCAGCTGTGTTGTCTTAAGCAGTTATTAAAAACTAGTCAAACTTGGGATGGAGTTACAGGACAGCGGGGAGGGTCTTTGCCTTATATGCAGCCGACCCGGGTTCGATTCCCAGCATTCCATATGGTCCTTCGAGCACTGCCAGGAGTAATTCCTGAGTGCATGAGCCAGGAGTAATCCCTGTGCATCACCAGGTGTGACCCCCCCCCAAAAAAAAACCAACTAGTCAACCAACTAGATTAACATGTTTACTGTACCCTTGTGGGCCAACAAAATTCGGACTCCTCTACAGTCATTCAGAACAGCCTTAGGTACCCAAGAACCTGTGTTAGAGCCTATAGGTGGAAAAGCTGAGCTGGTGCCCTTGGAACCTTCTCAAATGCTCAGTGCAAGGATCACAGAACTTCAGTTTTCCACCAGCTGTCAATATGACAATTTCACAAGTACGAATCCTGCTTTTTTAAAAAAAGAAAATGAAAAACTGCCACCCACATTATACTGTCAGTTGCCTTGAAACTCTGTAAAGAAACGTTAAATCCTTAGGGTTCAGTGGAAACCAAGGTTGTTAGCACTTGAACTCGTAGTTCAGAACTAAAACAGTCAGTGCGTCTGCCTCTCTACCTTGGGCATCTCAAACTAACCTATACTCTCAAACCATGGAGGGAAATGTGATGGCAATTAGTTACTGAACGAGAATGTCAGCTGTGGCAGTAGAGCTGCTGAGGAAGATTTCTACATAGACACGGCAGCCTGTTGCAGAGAGATATGTCTATATATATAAAAAATAATAATTAGAACACAGAGAATACTTTGACTCACCATCTCGGCTGCCAGTCACAATCTCAGGTGCTCCTTCTCCAATCCCGAGCCCACCTACGCCATCTATACAATTTATGATTTCTTTGTGGCTTTTGACTGAATATACTGGGGTCTCTGGAGCTTCCAAATTCCTAAACAACAAAATAGAACTTCTTAATTTCATCACATGTCCCAAACATTTAGTTGGCTATTAAAATTTATGAGTACTAATTACATCTACATCTAGGCGTTTATTTTTTTTTTAATTAGCTTTTGGGGAAGAGCGACAGCATAGCAGTAGGGCAGTTGCCTTGCATATAGCTAATGCAGGCCCAGTCCCCAGCATACCACATGGTCTCCCAGAACCTACCAGGAGTGAGTCCCTCAGTGCAGATACAGGAGTAAGACCTGAGCACCACTGGATATGGCCTCCAAATCAAAATAATAATTATCATAATTGTAATAATAAATAGGGCTTTTGCTATTTATTAAATAAGATAATTTAAACCTGTGTTTCATTTGTTCAAGTCCTCCAGGACAACAGTCATCACTCAACTCAAGACTTGTACTTTAAAACCACCTCTATGTTCCTTCAGGGAACTGGAGAGATAGTACGGAGGGCGGGGGGTAGGGCGGTCACCGTCCACATGGCCAACCCCAGGTTTGATCACTGGCACCTCCTATGGTTCTCCAAGCCCTGCCATGAGTGATCCCTGAGTAGAGCCAAGAGTAAGCCCTGAGCAGCACTGGGTGTGGCCTGAAACCCACAATTAAATAAATTATTAAAAAGATGATCTCGGGGCTGGAGCAATAGCATAGCAGGTAGGGTATTTGCCTTGCATGCAGCCAACCCGGGTTCGATTCCCAGCATCCCATATGGTCCCCTGAGCACCGCCAGGGGTGATTCCTAAGTGCAGAACCAGGAGTAATCCCTGTGCATCGCCAGGTGTGACCCAAAAAGCAAAAAAAGAAAAAAAAGATCTCCAGGATGGACTGCACAACATGACAAGATGTGCTGTAGGTAAGAACAGACTGACCAGGGGGCTGGAGTGATAGCACAGAGGATAGGGTGTTTGCCTTACATGCGGCCAACCCAGGTTCAATTCCCAGCACCCCATATGGTCCCCTGAGCACAGCCAGGAGTAATTTCTGAGTGCAGAGCCAGGAGTAACCCCTGTGCATCGCTGAGTATGACCCCCCCCCAAAAAAAAAGAAGAAACTGACCAGCCCCTTTTGTGACATAATGAACGAGAATTTCTGAGATGGAGTCTTATATCTGCTGACTCGTTTTACTGAAATTTGAACAATACTGCTGTAAATACAGAATCAATTCAACGTGAATTAGAACGTTTCCAGAGTAGATCTTGATAGTTTGATCCTGAGATCTCTTTGAAGGGGAAAATGAATAGCGTTTACTGTATACACAGTTTCTTGTATGATCTATTATTTTCTCACTGAGTCCCACACCAATTTCCATCTAGTTGTATGTTTTTCAGCTGAATCGTCATGCTGGTCACAATAAATGTTTAACGCCAAGTTGGCAGGAGTCTGTCTGATCTTAGGGTAGCTCAGAGACAAGAATGCAGCAAAGTACCTATTACTATGTGTGTTTGTGTTCAAGTTAGCAGGATGCTGATTCATGGCTTTAGTGGTTCTATTAAAACACCCCGTTTCCTGTCTCCTCCATTTGCTCTCTTATTTTCTAACTCCTTCCTTTGGAGTGAGATGATCCACACCTTGCTATGCTTGGGGGTTATTCCCATTTCTATGTTCAGAAGTCATCCTGGCGGTGCTCACAGAGCTGGGGGATGAAACCCAGGCCTCCTTCATGCAAAGCAAGGGCTCAGAATTATCTCTCTGGCCCATTCTTCTGCTTTTATATTGGATGGAGTTTCCACTTATATTTCTCTCTTTCACTAGCTCACTCCTTTACTAAAAGTGAATGTAGCTATTTCACTTGATCACTTGACATTCCGTTAGTCATCGATTTGCTCAAGCAGGCACCAGTAACGTCTCCATTCGTCCCTGTTGTGTGCTAGTGTAGCCCAATGGCGTCTGCTCGTTCTAGGAACACGAAGAGCCTCAAACCGATCTTGACGAAGAAGTCTGACCAACTCATAGGTGGGTGGCCATGCTGTCTTTTGATGTCCCATGGAATCCAGATGGTAACGGCTCTAGTCCAGTGGTCGTCTCCAAATCTCAGTATGTGTCAAGTCCATCTGATTTTCGACGCCTTGGCAAATGAGATAGCATCCCTGATTCTTGACCATCGATGGAGGTCGGAACTCCAAATTCTTTCTCTCATTTGAGTGAAACGTGATACTCCAAGCATAGCTCTTTCAATTCCTCTTTGGGAGACCAGAATAGTGTTCTTATCCAAATGTAAATGTAGTTATTTGTAATGTATAATTACAACTTATCACTGGGGCAAGATTTGTTAATAAAATCTCACTATTCAAAAAAATTAGATAATTTAACCTAGTATAGAGATATTTATCTTTGCAGGATCATTGAGAAAGAATTGAGACTCTAAACAGGACTGAGGTAATACTTAGAGGAAATTTTTAACTACAAAACATTATCTTTGGTGGCCTCCAGGGTGGCGTGCTAAGCAAGCAGCCACAGGGAACTGGAACCTCTCCTCAGCGAAGCTGCCCACTTGAGCACCTAGGCCAGAGGGGACCCCTGAAGTTTTACAAGTGCGGCAGGAGAACAACTCCAATCCTGAACCAATGAGACCCCTTCCCCACAGGTACAGCGGGGACAAGGGCGTGTCCTCCAGGGAGGCACCTCACGCACCTGAAGTTATTTTCCCCTTTCATAGTGCTCTGGACTCATATCTCAATCTCCATTACCTAATTTTTATGAGCACAGCCTGGCTATCACAAACACATTAGACCAATAGTCCATTAACCTATTCAAATAAAAATACTCCCCAAATTCACCAAGATAGCAGTGAACACAAGAATCTGAACAAGCCTAATTTATTTTGAAAAATAAACAAGATCGATAAACCACTAGAAAAACTCACAAAGAAAGAGAAAGAGAACCCTAATAAACCAAATCAGAAACGAAAAGGGAGACATCACAACAGAAACCTAAGAAATTCAGAAGATCATCAGAGATTACTTTGATAGTCTGTATGCCATGAAACAAGTGAACCTAGAAGAAATGGATAAATTCCTGGATCCCTATACCCTCCCAAGGCTGAACCAAGAAGATTTGGAATACCTGAATAGACCTATCACTATGAAGGATATTGAAACAGTAATCTTAAGTCTTCCGAAAAACAAAAGCCCAGGTCCAGATGAATTCACTAGAGAATTCTTCTAAACATTTAAAGAGGACCTTTTCAAGCTTTTCCAGGAAACTGAAGATACAGAAATACTTCCAAACAGTTTCTATGAGGCATATATCACCCTAATACCAAAAGCAGACAAAGACACCACAAAAAAAAATTATAGGCCAATATCCTTTATGAAGATGTATGCAAAAATCCTCAACAAAATATTAGCAAATAGAATCCAACAACTCATCAAAAAGATCATAAAACATGACCAAGTAGAATTCACCCCAGGGATGAAAGGATGGTTTAACATTCGCAAGTTAATCAATATAATCCATCATACCAATAAAAAAAAGAGATGAAAACCGTATCATCCTATAAATAGACAGGATTTGAGAAAATATTTGACAAGATCCAGCACCCATTTATGATGAAAACTCTCAGCAAAATGGGAACTGAAGGAAATTTCCTCAATATAATCAGTCATCTACCACAAGTCCATAGTAAGCTTTATCCTCAATGGGGAAAAAACTAAAAGCTTTCCCTTTAAGATAAGTGATAAAACAAGAGTGCCCACTTTTGCCACTTCTAGTACTGGAGGTACCTGCCATAGCAGTTAGGCCAGAAAAAGATACTAAGGGCATCCAGATAAGAAAGGAAGAAATCAAGCTTTCACTATTTGCAGATGACATGATACTATACTTAGAGAACCCTAAAAACTCTACCAAGAAGCTCCTGGAAACAATAGACTTGTTTAGTAAAGTCACAGTAAAATCAATACCCAAAAGTCCATAGGTTTTCTATAGCAAATAATGAGAAGAAAGTGATATGAAAAAAACAATCCCGTTCACAATCATGCCTCAGAAAGTTAAGTACCTTGGAATCAGCTTTACCAAGAAGGTAAAGGATCTGTACAAAGAAAACTACAAAACACTAATTCTAGAAATAAAAGAAGACACAGGAAATGGACACACATCCCCTGCTCATGGATTGGGAGAATTAACGTTGTCAAAATGGCAATACTCCCCTAAGTATTACACAGATTCAATGTGATCCCTTTAAGGATACCCATGATATATTTTTTTTTTTTTTTGCTTTTTGGGTTACATCTGGCGACGCACAGGGGTTACTCCTGGCTCTGCACTCAGGAATCAGTCCTGGCGGTGCTCAGGGGACCATATGGGATGCTGGGAATTGAACCTGGGTTGGCCGCGTGCAAGGCAAACGCCCTACCCGCTGTGCTGTTGCTCCAGCCCAACCCATGATATTTTTCAAAGAAATTGATCAAACACTCCTGAAATTCATATGGAACAATAAGCACCCATGAATAGCTAAAGCAATTTTTGGGGGAAATAAAGATGGGAGGCATCACCTTCCCCAACCTTAAATTGTACTACAAAGAGGTAATAATTAAAACAGCATAATAATGGAATAGACAGATTCACAGACCAATGGAATAGGGTTGAATATCTTTACACAAACCCTCAAATATATGATCATTTAATCTTTGATAAGGGAGCAAGAAATGTGAAGTGGAGCATGGAAAGCCTCTTTAACAAGTGGTGCTGTCATGAGAAAATGCTCTACATCACTAATCATCAGAGAGATGCAGATCAAAACAACAATGAGATATCATTTCACACCACAGAGACTGGCCCACATCCACAAGAACAAAAGCAACCGGTGCTGGCGCGGATGTGGCGAGAAAGGGACCCTCCTTCACTGCTGGTGGGAATGCCGGCTGGTCCAACCCTTTTGGAAAACAGTATGGACGATTCTCAAAAAATTAGAATTTGATCTCCCATTTGACCCAGCTATAGCACTCCTGGAAATATATCCCAGAGAGGCAAAAAGGTATAGTCGAAG